AGAGAGAGAGAGAGAGAGAGAGAGACAGACAGAGAGAGACAGAGAGACAGAGAGAGACAGAGAGAGAGACAGAGAGAGACAGAGAGAGAATAAAAGGGAGGGAGAGAGAGAGAAAGAGAGAGAGAGAGAATAAGAGGGAGAGAGAAAGTCTGAGCGTAATATGTAGGAACTTAATGATAGTTGACAAGCCGTCCTACCGGTGGGACCCAAGAAATCGCGCTGCAAAAGTACTTTAGGTTCAACTATTCTTATGCAAAATGCAAGACAGAGCAGTGCATTACATACATGCCATTTTATCAATTGTGGAAATGGCCGCACATACTCCTGTCGAAGCAGTAGCAACATACATACCAACCTGGGGGCTTGAGTTCCCTGGACAACGAGGCTGAATTCCCTTGATTTCAACCGTTTTCTCTGGACACCAATTATTTAGCGCATCCATCATTGGCAGATGTATTTTCATGCTTGCTGCTCTAACTTCACGAGTAAACTTTCTGTTGCTACCGTTATACCGGCGATCCGTTGCAGTTTCACATGGTTATACAGGCCGTGTGTACTAACAACTAGGGCTGAAACTAATGCTCAATGAAGCGAACGAATATTCTTTTCCGAATACATGCGAAACGAAGAATATTCCGACTATTCTAAACAATGCAATTTCCATGGATACCTAGTTTTATCCATGGTAACCATAGACCATTAACTGGCATACAGCCCAATTACAAGAGAGACATTTGAAAATCATTTGTCTTGCTGATTATAACACATCGGAAGAGGCAAGCCTACTTATGTTTTGCACCAAATAAGCTTGATCGATGTCAAAAAGGCGAGTTTCTGTACATTTACGAATATTCCTATTCTACTTTAACGAAGAATATTCTTTTTCCGCCTTGCATATTTCGAATATTCAAATAATTCGAATATTCCTTTCAGCCCTCCTAACAACGGATCTACCAGTTCGAGGAAACACTGAAAAAAGCGTCATAAAAAGGAGAACTTCGATTTCAAAAGTTCCATCTTAATCCCTGGACTTTTGCAGGACATCCCTGGACCCTGGGATAAACACCCTATTCCCTGGACTATCCCGGGAAACCGTGGACGGTTGGCATGTACGTAGCAACTCTGTCCAAAGTGAATTTTGACCATGGCACATCAATCATCGTGAGGATCTGATGTTTTTCTTACCCTGCCTAGCAAGTGGAACGCAAAATTCCATACTCCGTTTCCGTGGTTACCATGGGCTGTTGCCATGGACTTTCGTAGTCTGCCTTGTGCGATCACATCTCAAATTTGTGGACTCCTTCATTAGCCCCTTAGCAACAGTCTAGGGTCAAGTTTTAGTTCAATGTTAGAACAGAGGCCATGTTGCATGTCTGTGTATGATGGTCCTACCGGTAGGTCCTACCGGTAGGACGAGGTCTATGCAGGCTATCATTAAAGTTTCATGCCGTGGCAATCATCAGACAACTGACGTTGAAACTTGGTACTCAACATTGTTTTCCTGCTCATCTGTGATCATGGGCGCTTAAAAATAGTTGGTGGTGGAGATTTGAGAGAAAATTGCTTCAAGGTTCCTTTTTTCACACTGCCCAAGTGAACTGCTTGCGAGATACATCCACCCAGGCTGGGGATTCCCCCCCCCCCCCCAAGGTGTGGGCCATACGCAAGGCCCACCAACATATGCACTTGGACAGCGCAAATCTTTCCCAGGCTTTCTTATTTCCGATCAATCTGCATTGATTGTGAGTGCTGATCTGACGTGAGTTGGCGTCGGATGTGAGGTAGTGCTGTGAGAGCACGATGGAGCAGGTTTAGAATGGGATGGCAGTGTTGTAGTAGGTTATTTTGGGTACGCTGTGTGTGTACTGTGTGTTGGTGCATGCGCGTGTTGCTGTGGTGTGAAAGGCAGTCTTCGTCTTGAGTTCGCCATGTCTAGTTGTGTCTCCGTAGTCGTCTTGCAATAAACAGTCTTTCCAATTGAGTAATCGTCGTCCAATTGTCTGAGTGTGGAGATGACACGGGGCTGGGAGCAGGTGGAGAAAAGCGATCTACAATGGCAGCAACTCTGTTGTACCTGCCTTGTCTCGAGCACAAGAACACAATAGAGACTGTCCACTTGCTAGAGAGCCCGAGATTTTGAAAACTCATGATTTGTGCAGGAAGTTAAAAAATATCTGTGACACAGTCAAGTTGGTAAATGCGTTCTCAGCTGTCCAGGAAGCCCAAGATTTTGAAAACTCATGGCTTATGGAGGAAGCTTTTATAATTTCTGTAACCAAACTCGATTTTATAAATGCGCTCTCAGCTGTCCAGAGAGCCCGAGATTTTGAAAACTCGTGGTTCGTGGAGGAAGATTTACAATTTTGCGACCCAAGGCAGGTTTGTAAATGCGCTGTTTGGGCCACACATATGAACGTGGGGGGTGGCTAGAGAGTCAAAATTTAACGCGTATGGGCGTCTGGACGCACACGTGTACACTGCAAACACAATTATGTAATCTAACTGGCACAGGGTGCCGGTTTTGCACTTTGGGTGGTATTGCACCGATCCTAACAGTAGTATGGTATAAGTTCCCAGCTGCCGTGCCACCCGTGCCACCGTGATGCAGACACCTACCCTATGTACATACTGAAGGCATGGTGCATGGTATGTACAGTACAGTACAGTACAGTGTACATACCTCGCTGGGAACCCAGGTGCTGGCAAGTGTGCACCCACAAGTGTTCTTACGTCTAAGCTGCTAACCTATAGTGTGAAATCTACTCTGACAAATTGGAAGAGCAGTTGAGAAAGACAATAGTGCAGTGTTTGCCAACTCACCTCCATAGCCTGGTGCACAGTCACAATAAGCTGCACCCAGTGTGTTGTAGCATGACTCACGCACTCCACACGACAATAGGCCCAGTGTGCACTCGTCGATATCTGCTCTCACAGTGCAGACAATGATTATAATACACATATGCATACATGCACGTGCACACACACACACACACACACACACACACACACACACACACACACACACACACACCAAATGAGACAGATAGACATATAAACATAATACACACTGACACATACGCACTAACAGACAGACTAACAGACTGACAGACACGCACGCATGCACGTACACACACCCACACACACCTCAAGTAGCCAAATGTATTGCCCAATAAATTATACCAAATCACCTTCTTCCAATCTAAACCCTACCCTGCCCGACCCCACTCCAACCTGGCACTGCCCGACCCCATTCTAGCCTGGCACTGCCCGACCCCATTCTAGCCTGGCACTGCCCGACCCCATTCTAGCCTGGCCCTGCCCGACCCCATTCCAGCCTGGCCCTGCCCGACCCCACTCCAGCATGACCCTGCCCAACCCCACTCCAGCCTGGGCCCTGCCCGACCCCACTCCAATATGCCCCTGCTCGACCCCACTCTAGCCTGGGCCCTGGCCAACCACACTCCCAGATAAGCGTGCATGCATAGGACAATCGTGCCCGCTCACCTTGGCAGCTGGTTCCATTTCCCGTGTACCCGCTTACACACGTACAGACAAACGAGCCCGCGACATTGCTACAGGTGGCATTCACGTGGCACACTGCAGTGAAAACAGAACAGAATGGAAAAAAAGGTACTTCCCCCTCATAAAGCATGTAAGACGCTTGGAAGTTGTGATAGCAAACAGGTTTTGGTCAAGCAAACTGGAAATGTTTCTAAGTACAGTCAAACATTGCATAGCAATTGCATAACATTCATCATCATCATCATCACAAGCCCATAGCCCTAAGGCCGTCGGGGCGTCACAGAGCAAGTATGAACAAGCGAGCGCCATAAGAATCGATCGCGTGCAGCAGCGAGCTGGGACTGCACGTATAACATTGCATACTCTTTTATCTGGATCCCTCGCCATCCGGAAGAAAATCGTTGGTTACCGATTTACAGCACATGCCATGCATACATACAGTGTGTGTGTTTGATTATCCGGCTCCCTCGCAAATATTCGAACCCATTTACACACCAGAGAACCAGGGAACCAGGGTACCAGGGAACCTCAGCTCAAACAGTCAAACACAATGGTCTCCTTGCTGCATGTGGCACTAGTGTTTTCACCAATTTCCTAAATTTCTACTAAGACGTCGAAAGTTCTCGAAACACACGCACCGGCACACGCACACATGAACATACGCTTGCACACATGCATGAACACACGCACAAACGCACGCATACACACACACACACACACACACACACACACAAAGACACAAACCAGCACAGCAACAGATGACTCACCGTTTCCCACGACACACTCGTCAATATCGGTACACATCCGATCGGTACCATTAAAACCAGCCAAACACTGGCAGCTGAAGTTGCCCACCGTATTCAAACACATGGAATTCTGGCCGCACGCAGTCGGGTAATTACTACAGCCAACACAGGGAATCGTCACCGCACTGCACTCGTCAATGTCAGAACAAACAGTGCCGGTACCGGTGAATCCGGATAGGCATTCACACCCATACGTGCCGTTAGCGTCTGTGCATCGTGCGTTTGCTGCACAGTCATGGGACCCGTCCAAGCACTCGTCGCGGTTCACGCAAGCGTCCAACGCGGTCACCAGGACATAGCCGCTGATGCAGTGACACTCGTACGAGCCCAGGGTGTTGTTGCAGGTGGTGAACGGTTGGCATGGCGAACTCGCAGACGACGCACATTCATTTACATCAAGGCAGTCCGACAGCAGCAGACTGGCGTTGCTGACGACACTGCCGTTGCTAGGGCGTGCATATCCAGATAGGCAATCACATCGAAAGCTGCCCACGGTATTCTTGCAAGTGGCGTTGCTGACGCTAACACACGCGTTGGCCGCGCTCAGACATTCGTCTGTGTCCACACATGCGTCTGTCGGGCCAGCGGCGCTGGACAAGCGATGGAAGCCCGCGCTGCACGGGCAGAAGAACGATCCCAACGTGTTTGTACAGGTGCTGTAGTTTCCGCACGGAGACGACGAAGGTGTCTGTTCACTGGACGTGTTGTGTCCGGCGCTGCTTGCGTTACATTCGTTGACATCTGCACAGAGTACGGTGGCGTTGCCTGCAAAGCCCGTCGCGCAGCTGCACGAGTGGCCGCCGATGCTGTTCACACAAGTGGCGTTCTGCGTACAGTCGTGCACGCCGCTGGCGCACTCGTCAATGTCCGAACAGACGGTGTCGTTCCCTGTGAAACCCGACCGGCACACACACATGAACGACCCGTGTGTGTTCACGCATTGTCTCTCCCCCGTGCACAATGACGCCGTTGCCAAACATTCGTCAATATCCGAACAATTTGCTCCGTCGCCGGTGAAGCCATCACGGCATTGGCACAGAAATGATCCGATGGTATTCGTGCATGCCGAGTCGTTGCTGCAGTTGCGACTCTGCGCCGGCAGCAAACACTCGTTCTCGTCTGTGCACACGCTACCATCACCGACGAATCCACTTAGGCAGGTGCAGGTGAAGGACCCGATGATGTTCGCACAAGTGGAGTTCTGCGAACAGTTGCGTGCAGTCGCCGATAGTTGTGTACATTCATCAGAGTCGCTGCATTTCGTTCCGTTGCCAGCGAAGCCAATCGCACACTGACACGAAAAGGAGCCGATGGAATTCGTACATACCGAGTTGTTGTCACAGTTGCGCAAGCTGGGCGCGAGGTCACACTCGTTGACGTCCGAGCATCGCGTTCCGTTTCCGGTAAAGCCGACGTTGCACGTGCAGTTGAAGGCACCGGCGGTGTTTGTACAGGTGGCGTTCTGCGCACAGTTATCCAGTCTCAGGCCGCATTCGTCCTGGTCCAGGCAAAGAGTGGAGTTGAACGGCTGGTAGCCCTGCAAGCATTCGCAGTGGAATGAGCCCACGTCATTGACACAGTACGCACTGTGCTCCGCCGTGCACGTACTCACGCCCGGACCGCCGACCGCACATTCGTCGAGGTCGGCGCACTGCAGCAGCGCGTCGCCCGTGAAGCCGTCGCGACATCGGCAGCTGAAGCTACCCGGCGTGTTTGTGCACGTGCCATTGGCAGCGCACGGCGCCACGCTCATCTGACATTCGTTCAAATCCTCGCACGCGGCCCCGTTCCCCGAGAACCCGGGCAGGCACTGACACGAGAAACCGCCAGGAGAGTTGGAGCACAACGCATCGGAACTACAGGGACTGATAAGACACTCATCAGTGTCCATGCACAGAACTCCATCACCGGAGAAGCCGGCCAGACAACGACAGGCGAAGGAACCGTTGACATTGGAGCATACTGCGTCTGCATGGCAGTTGTCGATGCCAAGCGAGCATTCGTTCAAATCCAAACACGTGAACCCGGTACCATTGTACCCAGCACTGCAATTACACGTGTACGAGCCTTGCGTGTTGGAACATGTTGCCAGCGACGAGCAGTTGTGAGTAGCCAGGCTGCACTCGTCGAGGTCCGAGCAAATGGCCCCGTCACCGCCATACCCGATGTTACACTGACACGTGAACGAACCGTGCGTATTGGAACACACGGAGTTGTTGCTGCAGTTACGCTGCACAGGGAGCAGCACCGAGCATTCGTCCGTGTCGTCACAGATCACGCCGTCGCCGTGGAAACCGTTCGAACACACGCACGCATACGAACCGGGCTGGTTCAGACAGGTGGCGTTCTGCGAACAGTTCCGAATCGCCGGCGGCAGAAGACATTCATCAATGTCCGTACAGAGTGTACCGTTTCCGCTGTAACCGTCCTTGCACTGGCAGTGAAACAATCCCACCGTATTTAGGCACACGGAGTTGTCCCGATCGCAGCCGAGCTGGCTGGCAGTGAACATCTGACATTCGTCGACATCGACGCATTCGGAGCCGTTGCCGGAAAACCCCCGCAGGCACGTGCACGTGAAGGACCCAATGGTGTTCATGCACGTGGAGTTCTCCGAACAGTCGCGGACACTCGCCGACTGCAACAAGCACTCATCGAGATCCGCGCACGTCACGCCATCACCACTGAATCCGGCCATACACTGGCAGAAGAACGCACCGGCAGTGTTTGTACACGATGAGACGTTGCTGCACGGCCGCTGGCTGCATTCGTCAATATCCACGCAATGCGTCCCGTTTCCAGTATAACCCACATTGCATGTGCAGTAGAAGGATCCGACGGTGTTCGTACAGGTGGCGTTCTCCGAACAGTCGTGAGTGGCTGCACACTCATTCAGATCCACGCAGGCAGGTTGCTGTATGGTTGTGAGTTGGTAGCCTGCGTTGCATGGACAGGATGCTTGCTGGCTGGTTGTGTTGTAGGCACAGGACGACTGCGTATGACATTGTACCAGGCCCGTCACCAGGCAATCGTCAAGATCTATGGACACAAACGAGAGAAAGGCACGTGCATTCGAGCACATGCGTACGTGCACACACAGACATATACACACATGCACACATGCATGCACACACACACACACACACACACACACACACACACAGGTTAAGGTGTGGTCTCTGTTACCAGATGATCACTTCATCAGGGCCATTTGACTGGATATAATTATAAATCCATTGGTCCTGATTGCAGTCGTCTTCCAGGACACGTGGTCGTCTTATTGATGTGTTCGCCTTAACAGGCTTTCTGTACGGTACGAAATAGTGGTTGCGACTTCGGCGATGATTTTTTAGGAATGAGTTTGCTCTCACACTGGAGCTCGCGCTATTCCGTCGACTTTACTTGACACTTGACTGACTCACAACTGGCATCCGGAGCACACGAGAAGTCCATCGAACCTTCGGCTCGGCAAACCTGCTTCTGTACAGCACCTACCTAAAATCATGCAAGTACAGTAAAACCAGCCCTAAAAGGACGCCCTTCGTGCAGCGGAAACTGTCCTGGCACACGACAGGATTCTGCCTGATCTACGGATGCATGTTTGATTCGCAGCACTTTGGTGCATGAGATTTTGTCTGGTCAATACAGGATTCCGCTTGGTACAGAGTCCGGAAAACACAGCTTTCACAGCAATTCAGAGTGTAATATTGAATAACATATTTTTCGGAGTAAAAGCCAAACCCAGATTTTTCTGTCGTGAAATACACAGATCTACGATATTTATCACCATTAATTTCACCCATACATCAGGAGATGGGCCTTGCCCGAAAATTCAAATGATTCTCTTTCTTTCTTTTCTTTTAGTGATCGGTGTAGCCCAGAGACCGTTTGGAGAGTGTAGTGAAGATGTATGGGTATAGTGGATGGCTACAGTGGAGTCTTCGCACTCTGACGAACATTAATTTGACCATGCATTATAGCATAAAAGCCGCACTGCCTTTTTTGTGTGAAACGCTAGTGTTTTAAGTAGGACTTATACTCCGGAACACAGGGTATACAGAAGAGCATGAAATCCACTTACCGACAACAGTTAGGCTAAATAGAGCGATAACCAAGTGACCACTGCTTGTCGCCTCCGCCTGGTACACGCCAGAGTCTGAGTTCCGCGCGCCCGCCAGCTGCCAGACGCTCGTTCCGTTCTCGTATGTGCGGCTCGTGTTTGTTACGTTCACGCGCACTCCGTCCACAACGTGAAACCACTGGAGAGTGTAGTATGTGGAAACGGGCAGAGCTGGCTGGTCTATGGTGGCCTGCAGCTGCCCGCTACTGAACTCATCTATGCTGACAGATGCTGACGCCTGATCCAGTTTGAACTGAAACGGGCCTATGGGGGGGGGGGGGGTGTATGCCAATGCACACAGGACATATTCAAACATGCGAGCACACACACACACACACACACACACACACACACACAAACACACATGCACACACACACACACACACACACACACACACACACACACACACACACACACACACACACACACACAAAACACAAAACACAAACACACACGCACAAGCTAAAGTTGAACAAAACATGGATTCCTTCAGGCAGCTGTAACTAGAATCCCGGACAAGCACAGTACACAACCACCCATATGGCATTGAACAGCTGATTGGTGATACTCATTATCATACTCATACTCTTGCCCATCTTTTTTTTAAGTGATCATAGCGAAAAAGCTATGTTAGACATAGCAACTTGTGATGGCATCACACCGTGCAACAGCTTGCCAGGCTGAGGAATTGACCACCACTAATTTTAGCCTGGTCTACACCACGCGGCTGATCGAAGTGGCTTTTTCTGGCCAGTGAATCCCTATTTTTCATTTTTTTTTATCCATATTAATTCATTTTTACTATGACATCAGACAGCACAGCAAAGCTTACCAAGTACGAGTAGGTTTATTGTAGCCGTGTTGATGCGTAGGCTGGGATTCACGATGCCACCGTTGCTAACTACACACTCTGCAGTCCAGCGTGGGTTAAACGGCACGGGTAAGTCAGAGCCCAGGCACAACGAGAGCGCACCGGGTGCTCTGCTCGTCGTTATCAGCGTACCGCTGGGCAAGACGATGGAGCCTGCGCAGAACGGACAGGAAGACAAGAGGCGTTACGATTTGTAACGTTTACGAGCTACATAGATGTGGGAGTTGCAGCTTGAGCACGTGTGTGTGTGTGTACGTGTGCGTGCGTGCGTGTGTATATGTGTGTGTGTTTGTTTGTGTGTTTGTGTGTGCGTACATGTGTGCATATGTGTGTGTGTGTGTGTGTGTGTGTGTGTGTGTGCGTGCGCGTGCGTGCGTGCACGTGTGAGTGTAGTAGGTAATGTGGTTCGAGCTACTGCACACGAACATACAGGATAGGTACAGAGGTTACGGGAATGATTTCATGGGGCGAGTCAGCCAATCTTCTGATAGGTGCTACATATGCAGCACGAGTCGCTAGTACAGCAGTGCAGTGCTGTGCCGCGAGTCCGCGACTTCGCCAAAGCCTCTCAACTGATAATGCAACTGCATAAGCTCTATACATAGCCGCCAAGGTGGCAAGAGCGTGCAGCTGTAATCTATGGAAGTTTTTAACATGTGTTCGACTTCGACAGCATGTTACAAGGTGAGGGTGCACAGTTCTACTGACTACAAGCATAACCCGGTTGGCACACGGTTCAAATGGTCGCAAGACCGGAACTCTGCCAACCGGGTTATGCTTGTAGTCAGGAACACTGTGCGTCCTCGCCTTGTAAAACATGCTGTCGAAATCGAAAACTGTAGTCTATGCAGCGTGCGACGGCAGAGCCTCACATGACGTGAAAGACCTGCACACACTTAGTGCGTTCAATCACGCAGGCAGAGGCAGAGAGAGGCACAGATTGCATGGGGAGAGAGAGAAGAATTATTTCCTTGAAAAATTATTTATGATGAATGAACTGGTCATTGTGAAGATGTTCATACCTGTGGTGACATTCCACTGCAGTGTATTCTCTCTTGGATCTCCAGGAGATGTACAGGTTACAAGACAGCCATCGGATGTTGGTACACTCACCACCAGGGAGCTGCCCTCATTGATGATGGCTTGCGGTGGAACTGTACGTGAGAATCAGAAACAATGGAAGTTTTAGACCCTTCAGGGGCGGATACAGAGATCTCTACAGGGGTTCCAATTTAGCCAAAACCGAATAGCTGATACATGTTCCTGTACATGCATATGGTTGCCAGGAGTGAATTCGCAATTATATTGGTTCCTTGTTGAGCACCATACCTTGAACAGTGACAGTCACGGATGCGCTAGCTGTGCGCTGGGATGCCTCAACGATATCCGTATTCTCGGCTAAGCATGTGTAGTTAGAGGAGTAGTTGGCGCGTGGCAAGGACAACTGAAGTGTCCTGAGAGCGAATCCAGACGTACTCTAAGGAGGCAACGACAAACAGACAAGAAAGGGAGAACTTCAAGTTCTTACTGGGCACTTTCTATGTAGCAAAAGTGCAGACTCACTGTACAAACTACTGTACAAGCAGAAATATTCGTCTGGAATTTAATTTCGTCTTTTTCGTCCAAGGAGCTTTTGGACTAAATTAAATGCCGGACTACTAATTATAATGTCGATTTGTCCAACTTTTCAATACACTCTTGTGATCCATGGACGAAATTTTCAATCGGACAAACTCCCTTTCTTTGGAGTTGGACGAAATTATTGGCCGACGAAATTTTCTGCCTGGACAGTATATAAGCAAATACCCGATAGGGTACCCGTGCTGCCCGGATAGAAATACCCGAACTTTTTACCCGACGAAACCCATACCCGTTGCAGCCCTACAGTCATGCGGTTGGATTTCATTCGCCCCCTGTTATGTCCTGTCCCCGTGCGGACCAACATACGTGTACATTCTCTTGCACATTACATTCACTCACAAACACTAAGACTCATTACTTCTTGGTCTGGTCAAACAACAGCAGCCCAATCCGAGCATGTGCAATACATACTATGATGCAGCAGCCAACTCTGTACTGTGCGTCAACAAATATCCGGCGCATATATATTTTCGGCTATTTTCGGCCAGGTCATGCATGTTTGGCGGAAAAATTGTTGCGACCGAAATTTTGTTTTGCAAGGTTCAGTGTGACAGTGTATGCAGGCGGCAGCAGTACAGGCCGAAAATGTGATTCGGGCGAAATGGGTTTTAGCCCTGGGAGGCCGAAATTCGAACTTGCCGGAAATTTGTACACTTACAGTAGTAGAAATATAACAACTTGCATACACAACCCCCCCCCCCCCCAGTGTTTTACTCACGGCCAGGGTCTGTCCGGTGGTGGCGTTCATCCAGCGTATACTGGTGGGGTAGTCGCCGTGGACGGTGCACGACAGCGTGACGTCATCACCGCGGATCACCGTGGTTACGTTCGACGGCGACACACTGACACTGGGCGGAACTGCAACAGCAGAGACAGAAACAGAAATATCGTGGGAGAATGAGACTGGAGGAAGAGGTTGTCATTGGCGACTTGTCCCTATCCCGAGAGGTTGGTATTTGCAAGTGGTTTCCATCATGAAAGGCTATTCATTCGGTTGACTGTACAGTCTATTTCAAAAATAGAGACGCATGGTATTTTTGAAATATTCCAAATTTGTCTAATTGTCCGCAAACTCCAACGCAGCCACCTACACATTTAAACTACACTTCTCAACTCCAAAAACGGTCTCTTCATTGCGATTCAAACCAAAATTAAATTAAAAAAATTAACATTACACATTGCACAGGTGTAATGTTAATTTTTAATTTTGATTTTGGTTAAATTAACATTACACATTGCACAGGTGCAGTGCTAATTTTTAATTTTAATTCCCGTAGCTATGCAGAAGACGTTACTTCAGTAACGTCTGGCGCTAGCCAGGGTCCACACAGCTTTAATTTGGTATTTGTGTGTTTGTTTGTTTGTGTCACGCCTGGCGCTATCCCGTATCTGTCCCGTACCGTACCGTACCATCAAACACAGCTGGCCACATACAGCTGGCCGCAATATTCAAATAGGTCTTTCAAACGCAAGATCATAACGTGAAGCAACTTGGAAGAATGGGTATGAATGTGAAGTGTATGGGGGAATGCATGTAGGGCGATAGTGCGGGGTCGAATCCCAGGATATGCCTGAAAAAAAATAGGAGAATTGAGAAATTTATAACATCCCTATGCTTTTTTTGCCGTCATCAAGGCGGTAGACGGTGTCGTATTACCCTCGATCGTACCTGTCCCGTACCTATCCCGTACCGTACCGTACCATCAAAGACGGCTGGCCACAATGCACATTCAAATAGGGCTTTCAAATACAAGATCATAACGTGAAGCAACTTGGAAGAATTAGTATGTGTGCGAAGTGTATCGGGGATGCATGCAGGGCGCGCGATAGTGCGGGTTCGAATCCCAGGTTATGTCTTTAAAAAAGAGATTTTTTTAAAGAATTTATAACATCCCTATGCTTTTTTTTGTCTAGGTCATCAAGGCAAAAAAGCATAGCGTAGGGCCCTGAGCTTCCAAGCTCTCTCGTTTTGGTTTGAATCGCAGTGAAGAGACCGTTTTCTGGAGTTGAGAAGTGAAGTTTAAGTTTCAAATTTGGCTGGAGATTCTTGAGAATGTTTTTCGGAATATTGCTCAGGTCTTTCCCCCAATTACTCTCATATCGTTAAGCTATCACATAACGAACACCCAATTTCGAAAATGTTTTGCACAAAGTGATCACAGATTTTATTTGGTATGCTGGCCTAACGGTTTTTTTAAATCACGCGTCTATTAATTTTTGAAACGCACTGTAGGAAAGGCAAATTCCTACCTTGTACAATCACAGAACGTGACACAACTTGGCTGATGGGAAGCGAAAAGTTCTGACCAGCCCGCTCGACCTCCAAGTTAGTCACATTGCACTGGTAGAGGCCGGCTCCTGTCGTCGTCGTGACGACAAACGAGTACGTCGCCTGATTGGCTACCAATGGCAACGGCACGCCGTCGACTGCCCAGGTGTAGTTGAGGGGGTTGCTAGGCGACCAGACCCCGCAGTTCATGGTTACGGCGTCCCCGGGAGTAACGTGCACGGCCTGGACCCAGCGGACTGTGGTGAGTGAAGGAGTGGTAGTGATGAACGGACCAACAGGAGGTACTGAAGAAGAAGAAAACAAACAGATAAAGTAGTGTACAGTGCAGGTAAAAAGACCTGGAATGATGCAATACCTACAGTTACAAGCTAAGAGTAATCCATGAGCTGATTGGGATTTAGGATCAGACGGAAAATGGACAGCAAATGGATTTAGCGGGTTCTCCAGCTCCTCACTGAGTGCGTTCGATTATGCACGGGAATCGATTCATGACATGAATCAATTCGCGCTATTCACATCACCCCATGTGAATAGGGTGAATGGATTCCGAATCGATTCCAGGGCTCATGACATGAAAATCGAACGACTTGAATGCACTTGAATCGATTCATGAATCGATTCAAGTGTGTAATCGAACGCACCCAGTGGTAGATGTACCCGTCTTGCACTGCTCATCCGGATTGATCAAACTAAAGCCTAGTTCACATTCGACGGAACGCCGATGGTACGGGACGTTAGGGCCTGTCGGGAAGGCTGGGGTGAGCTGTAAAATCTTGTACGATTCTATGACACGACATGCTGCAGCCGTTGCGTCGTTCAACGGCGAACGGCGCCAGTCATAAGACACGGTCAGTGACAAGGTGACTTTTGGACCTAATTTCTTGTTTGAGACTTCTTTTCAATTATTTCTTCTTGAATAAAGTGGAATCAAGTTCACAATACCAGTTTTTCATGTACACCAAAAAAGTAGCTTCGAAAGGTGTGCCATTCAAATAATAGCTCCAGGAAATGATAAAACAGGTCGTCTGTCACTCTCCTCAACTATCCCTAAATGCCATAAATGACATCAGACTTTATCTTGCTAAAATTCAACTCAAGTCGTGTTAGCCATTCTGCGAGTTATCATGGGAAGCACCGTGTTCGAAATGCTAAAAATTTCCAAGTACAAATCGGGAGTAGTCGGCGCACGACGTCATCTCCTGTTCACACTCAAAATGCAGCTGTTTTGTACGCTTACGTCCCCGTGTACGCCTGTCTATGGTATGAAAAGTTGGATCGATCCAACTCTTCCCGTTGCTTCCCGATCCGTACGGCAGTACGGTTGCGTTCCCGTTCCTGGTGTTCACATTGGACGCCGTCAGACTGTCCCGTCGCTTCCCGATCCGTACGGCAGTACGGCTGCGTTCCCGTTCCTGGTGTTCACATCGGACGCCGTCAGACTGTCCCGTCGCTTCCCGTCGATCCTTACGTCGGGTCCCGTCGCGCCCCGTCGAATGCGAACTAGACTTAAGATACAGTGCTGCTCATATGAAATTCAATAAGCCCATTGTGCATTGCCAAATATGGAAGGTATGACTAATGCATGTGAGTACGCTGGGATCAGCAATGCACTGTTCAACAACCCCAAACGACCATACCCAGGTGGCTGTGTGGGGTGTTTATGGTACAAATTGCATCATTGCGCAATGGGCGTATTGAAGTTTGCGCCCCTGCACCAGTTCACCATCCCAGTGTCTGCAGGTCAAGTGCTGCACAGGCCCAGGCATGGCATTGACTTTCAGTGAGGCGCAGGCTCGACACTACAATCGTGTTGTTTCCAAAGATTGGTGTAACTCCACTGTTGCTATGCCAATATTCAATTGAACCACTGACCTCATACGCACCGCCCTCTCTCTATCTCCACCCCACCCCTTTATACCTACAGAGCCTCCACCCCACCCCTCTCTCCCCTACCATCATGGGTCCTTGGCTGCAATCAAACACTCGTCTGAATCCAAACTTTCCTGCCCAGGGAAACATCAACAAGGATCGAAAACGATGGGATAGAGATGTGGTTTCCAACACATGTCCGTTTGTTGATGTTGCCAAGGACAAATAACGAGGGTGTCCAAGTCTATTCAGATCACCTGTCTTTGTTTCAAGGATGCCTGCAATTACATCATCATCACATCAGTTGTTCACAGTTACATCATCATCATTTTTCCATCCTCTCAAAATCTCTATTGGTCATGACATCATCACTTCAGTAGTATCAGTACTTTCCATTGATGATTACATCATCACTTCAGTATCCTCTGCTAACAATTGCATCATCAATTCAGTGTCCTCTATTGACCATTACATCATCGCTTCAGCATCTTCTATGGACCATTACATCATCACTTTCAGTGCTGTCAACCTGCTCGGTCTGATTTGCGTACTCGGACAGCTGAATTTCCGTATTTTCCGGGGTTTTTGCGTACCACCAATTATTTTTCATCCCATGATTTATACTGTATTTTTGCGAAAATAATAATAGCTAAAATCTCACCAGTTGTAGTCTTCGCCCCCCCCCCATATATCCATTCAAGCTGTACTAATCCTACGTACATGTACATGTACAGGTACATGACATCAAGAGTACATGAAAACCAGAGTGTGCAGCTCGGATGGGTTGCTGTCACGGCGAAATTCCGTGATTACATCATTTTAGTGATGTAGTGCGTACAAGCAGGATTCAAGCTGGTCTCTTTCTGCACAACTGCAGCTCAGTTGTACGCACTACGCCATTTCCCGCCTCAGATCTGGGCCAAATATGATGTAATCACGGAATTTCGCCGTGACAGACACCCATAGCAGAAAAGACCCCAAGCTGCACACTCTGGTTTTCATGTACTCTTGATGACATGCATACCATCCAGAGCATACATGCATACTCTTGATACCATGTACATGTACATGTACATGACTGTGTACATTTAGAAAAAGTTGAAAAACTGGTTCATAGTCAATTGATCCATACTTCTCAGCTTTCCGTACAATTTCGGTCAATTTCCGTGCTGCGGACAAAGGAGTGAATTTCCGTACAAGTACGGAAAAATACGGAAGGTTGGCAGCACTGCAGTTTGCACACCACCGCACGACTCACTTGTTGAGAAGCGGTAGACAGATATGGACGTGTTCACGGTGCTGCCACAGGAGAAGCTCACGTCCTGCCGGTTACTGAAGCCTGGGCAATCGACATTACATGTTGACGCGTCTGGATAGAATGTCAGGATCTGGACAGTGCACCAGAGAACACAATGTGAAATACGGAGTCCATGAAAAAGCACAATAGGCCATTCACACGACGTGCAAGCTCATTTTTATTGTACTTTTTCCATGGATAGTTACTCATATACGAAAAACGTGGACACACGCGTGCAACTGATTTTGAACTTGGCTGGCCCTCGATTATACTTTGCACGCAAGAAAAAGTGTTGGTTGTTGAAAATGTGCCCTACAAATGTAACGTGTGAACTACATTTTTGTATAATTTCAAATGGGAAAGTTCAAAAATTAAAATTTCCTGGCATTTTCAGGAGCTCGCTATGGATACATTGATGCATGCAAAGTTTGCCCAGCAAGGTGCATCACAATTTACAAGTGACTTATTGGTCGCACATGTGCATGTGTGTGCACGTCGTGTGAATGGCCTATAATATCATTTTCATGATTGCAAGAGTGCTTCTTCATGGATTAGCTCTTTGCTCCGAGCAGTTTGGCACAAATAAACAGCCATGAACATAATATCAAACAGATGCGCTCGGTGAAATCCGACCAAAGTGCAAAGCTGGCGGCGCCCTGGACCAGTTCCGATGTATGTGTACGACCAGCCGCATTCGTGCCACTTCCAGGGCGTCTAGGGCCGTGCAAGTTGTGGGCGCCAAAATACGCGCTCTTTGCCCATATTTCACTGAGCACACCTGCACATGCTTACACGGAAGCAGATCGGTGCGGAGTCACGCTAAGCAACGCCAGTATAGCGTAAAATTGCAGGCATGCTATAAAGAGTTCAACCTACCTAATAACTGTTAGGCAGACACGCAGGGGAGGTTGAGGTACTCTACGGGTGTTTGGGCGTGGGTGGCCACTTGCTTGCAACCGTATGCTACAATTTTACATAATCTTTGGGCAGTTTGGTGTACTGACCTCGTGAGGTCTCACTAACAGAACTCTTGTCTGCCCTCTAAACTCACTCTCACGTGCAGACTACAGTCGACTCCGTTTATTATTATTTATTATTTATTGCAACATCTCAAGACTCGGCGGAAACACCGGCCAATATTACGAGAGTGGGTGATTGCCAACCACGGCGATAAATAGAAAGAAGGGGAGGGAAAAAGAAAGAGTAGCAAAACGAACAGCAACAACAACTCCGTAAAGAAAGATAATGTCAAATAAAAACAGTGAAAAACACAGCGACGCAAAGGACATGTGGATAATGAGCTATGCATGTCGTAGTAAATAAGGGGCGGCACGGATCTTAAACAGGCGGAGTGAGGTCAGGTCCTTAACTTCTCTGGGTAGAGTGAGCCAAACAGAATAAGCAATAAAGAGAGGGGAGCGCAAAAGAGTGGATGAGTTACACTTAGGGAGTAAGAGTGAGTTTCTAGTTCTTAGAGAAGAGAACCAATTAAAACACATGAGATGAGGTGGGCACAACTCAAGCTTAATAGAATGGACAAGAGAAGCCAGGTGTGCACTGCGTCCATGTGATAACGGGGTTGTGTGAGCGATTTTATAAAGGGCGGATGATGAGAGCATGCGGGGTTGACGGAGGAGAATTTTAAGGATTTTCTTGTGATGTATTTCAAGCTTTGCAGCAGCGGAAGAGGATAACCCAACCCAAGACGTATCTGCATAATGAAATATTGGGCGAAGGTAGGCGAAATAAAAAAGAAGCTTGCAAGAAAGTGGGAGGTAGGAGCAGTGGGGGGAGAGAATTCCTAAGGATTTACTTGATTTTTTACAGATATATTCGATGTGAGGTACCCAAGAGAGTGCAGAGTCAATCACAATGCCAAGGTGTTTGTGAGAAGACACTATGTCAATTGGATTTGGAAAGTTGGCATGGATGAGGGTTGTGAACTCCGGCTGGGGCGGGAAGAGCATGATCTTTGTTTTTGATAGATTTGGGGACAACCTCCAGGACGACATCCAGGAAAGAACTTCCTGAATGCCAGCACGCAAGTTGTTTTTCAGGCCAGTGAGGGAAGCTGATGAGGTGAGAAGGGTCGTGTCGTCAGCAAACAGAGACGTTCCAGGGAAGACTGCAGGTAAGTCGTTTACGTAAATTATAAATAGTAGGGGACCAAGAATTGATCCTTGAGGAACGCCCGACAATACTGGCTCTGCAGCCGAGGATGTGCCAAGCACAGTTACGTACTGATAACGCCCAGAGAGATAAGATTTCAGCCAGGAGAGTGGCTGTTTGCGTACCCTGAATGCATGCTCGAGCTTTGCCAAAAGTCCTCGATGCCAGACGGTATCAAAAGCCTTGGCCAAGTCAAAGAAGCAAATGCCAGCAAGCGCTCTGTTATCCCTATGCTGGCACACCTGCTGCACGATGCGGGTCAGTTGAAGAGAGGTGGAGTCGCCTTTACGAAACCCAGATTGTGCGGGACTCAGAAACGGCGAAACATGTCTGTATAAGTGGTCATAAAAGATGCGTTCACATACTTTGGACACGCCGTTTACAACGGACTCGCGTGTAGAGAATTTCCTGACAAAGCGAACCATTGTCCATCTCCCTGTTTGAACCCTACAAAATTGACCCATTCTAGTAAACCTTTTTTGTTCATAATGTCGTGTGATTTGTCCATTATTATTGGAGAGATAATTTTTCATCCACAAACGTCAATCAAATTGGTGACGTTTTGCCCTGACAGGAAAGAAGAGAAAGCAAAGGCAAGAAGAGAGTGTTAGTGCTACCCATGAGCGTAGGACATGGGTGCATAGACCTACCGGCAGGCTGTGGTAGCAAATGCAGAAATACGTCGGTTCCGAGCCGATAGCCACAGGAAGTGGCGAGGAGTAGAATCGATTCATGCGAGTGAAGCACTCCAATGAACAATGACCAGGATGGACGTCCGTTGACTGGAGGGTGGCCTCCTCATAAACGTTTGTTAGCGTGTCGAATGTACCTCGAGCGAGCAAAGCACAGCCTTGCAGGGTCACACTTGGCCATACTGCACAAGGATGGTTTTGGACACACACACACACACGACCAAACACATTTTCTCTTTCATTTCCTCTAACTCCCATTTCTCTCTGTCTCGCTGCCTCTCATTTGATCTCTCTCTCTCTCTCTCTTTCCCTCCCTCCCTCCCTCTCTCTCTATACCTCTTTCACTTTCTCTTTCTCCCTCCCTTCTCTCCCTCCTCTCTCTCACTCTCCCTCTGTCTCTCTCTCTCTCTCACATACACTTTCTCTCTCTCCCCTCTCTTATGCATGGCCAAAGATGTGGAAGGCAAAGCAGAATGACGAGTAGTACTACTCGTATACGTATGTCATGCAGGTAATAGCGATACAGAGCAGGACACAATCAAATTCAAAATATGTCCTCAGAAGAGCAAATAGCAGTCTCTGCACGACGGTAGACTGGTATTGCAACAATTGTCTGTAACACCCATGTCAGCACAAATCAAGACAATACTGTAAGTCTTGACTAGTTTGAGGGAAAGACACAAACGGGAAAAGTCTGATGAAAAAATTGACTGTCACCGCCAGGACTCGAACCAGGGACCCTCGCTTGTAGCCAGCGATGCTCTAACCACTGAGCTATGGTGTAGTCATCTTCCCAGCAGAGACCGTTCAACATTTTCTTCAGACTTCGTAACTCACATTTTTCCCGTTTGTGTCTTTCCCTCAAACTAGTCAAGATTTTAATACTGTAAGTCTACAATATTTGGCGCATATCTATTTTCCGCTATTTTCGGCCTGGTCATGTTTGGCCGAAATTTTGTTGCGGCCGAAAATGTTGTTTTGCAAGGTTCAGCGTGACAGCGTATACAGGCAGCAGCAGTACAGGCCGGAAATGTGTTGCAGCAGAAATGTGTTTTAGCCCTGGAAGGCCGAAATTTGAATAGGCCAAAAATTTGTGGACTTACAGTAATTACACTGCAAGAGCATGGTACTGTTTGCTCGAAAAGACGGTTCACAACTCACAAGTCTGACAATACGTGCCAGTGTAGTTACGGCCGCAGTCGCATCCTGACTCTGTAGTGTTGCAGCTGAACCCGTTCAGACAGCCAACGGTGCAGTCTGTGTTTGAGGGACACGTGTGTACGGACGCAGCCACACACGTAAACACACATACACACACGAGTACGCACATGCACACACACACACACACCAGTGCACATGACCACACATGCACGCACGCACACACGCGCACACACTAACAAACACACACACACACACAGGTCAGGAAAAGGCCACAATGGCACACCATGAGTAGAGGACATTTCACACGTTATACCAAATCCTTTCAAATCTTCACCAATCTATTGCATTGCATAGAAAGTGTAAAGTGCATGTGGACACTGGAGCCAACATGGCCGCGACATCATGCGATGTGTTGATCTAGGGACTAAGTGAAGTTGGAACCACCATATCATCACACACATCATGCCACCCATTCATGCAGGGGTTGACAGGATTTGGAACCAGCAGGGCGGACATGAAGACACTCGTGCAAGCAGGGTTTGGCAGGAGTTGCAGCCAACATGACTACCCCATATGGTCAAAAACAATTGCACGGGTTCACATGCAGGGCGGGTCAAGAACCGCCTTTCCGCTTCCGTGGAACGCCACCACCCCATGATCAGACGTCAGAGGCGGCTCCTGAATGGCGGGGGGAGGATACAGTCAGACCTGGCTTGCCCGCACACATCCGTTTCCCACAAAAATATCCGGATAGGCGAGGGAACCGGATGATCGAACACACATACTGTATGTATGCATGGCATATGCTGTAAATCGGTAACTAGCGATTTTCTTCCGGATGGCGAGGGATCCGGATAAAAGAGAACCAGATAAGCGAGGTCTGACTGTATATCACATCCACCAATCAGAGGCCAAAGGCCATGAGGTCATGTCATAGATTGATCAATACAGTACTCTCTATACTGTATCTAGTACACTCCAGCAACCTTACCAGCAACTGTCGCAGGAACTGTGGCAAGTACGAGTAAAACAACCGCCAATGATGCAACAGCTGCTGTTGTGGCACCACAGCGGCGCCCGTAGCTCTGCAGCATTGTTCACGATGGTCTGACGGTCTTGCGTCTCATTGACTGACGGTCTTGCGTCTCATTGACGTTGTTCCTGCCCTTTGTCCACTTGCTCCTCGGATATCCTTCACAAACAACATAGGCAAAAATCACTCAATCAGAATCTGCGGGCAGAACTGTTTCGTCCTTTGCGCACTCATCAGCACAGCAGAGAGAGAATGAGGCCGAACATGGTAGCAATGAAAAATATTTCTTTTCCAAAGCCAGATTTAAACCAGGCCCGAACGTACCTTGCCAGAAAGCTCAAACTGGCAAGTCAGTGAGCTCTGCATAACGCAAACAGCAAATGTAAAAATCAGTTAGTGCACAGTCTGGTTTTGATACCCTGAGCGGATGAGATAAATTGTCCATCGGTGCTGAGCTGACCATAACACCGTTCCAGCAAACGTACCCACAATGATACATACAACAGCAAGGCTTATTCCTACGCAAGCCGATGATGTTTATTACAAGGCTTCTATTCGAATCAGACTGATATTCTAACCAAGAACTTTCTAACCAGCAAGGGTAACCAGCAGCTTCCCAAGCCTGTCCGCCATTAGTCAAGTCCAAACTACCCACCACAGCTGTGTGCAGGAGATTATTAACGATCTACCAAAGCACGGACTCCTGTTGCTGCTGGTGTGGTGGCCAAAGTCGCCCGGAGAGTGCATGTGATCGGGAGTTGGAAATAACTACTTCGTAAGGGTGTTTCTGTGTATGTCAACGTGGAAGCCAGGATTGTGTGTCGATGGTCCCGGAAGATAAGCCTAGCCTTGCTTGCCCACTGGACAGACTTTAAAAGTAGCACTTTGCGTATCTATCCGAAATCCTCACCCCCCCCCCCCCCCCTATCTGATTATCACAACAGATATGAAGGATGGAATGCTACACCGAGAAGTAAAGGCAGATAGCTGAAAGATGTTCTTGTACGTCAGTACCCGACCTATGCACCATGCACACCTTCCTGGGAAAGATGACATTCTATTATAATATTATTATATTTGTGGTATGATTTAGACCAGGGTTCATGCCGATGACGAGGAACAGCTTTCAGGTGAACGAAATCTAACACCAGGTGCTGAGGAACAAAGCCAATTCTACTAGAGAGTAACAGAGAGTAACAGGAGTACTTTTACTACAATTATTCATACAGTTGCATGAATATAATTATGCACCTCATTTACCCCCCCCCCCCCCCACACTCATTCCTCATTCCATTTGGCTAGAGCGAAAGCTTTACACGTTCTCTATAAACAGACAGAAGAACGAGCAGTTGTTTTTTTTTAATCGATCATCAGACGAGAATAGAGTAATCTTGTTGTGGATATGTATATTGTATCGATGCCTACGCAGAGAGGCTCTTAGCAAATAATGCAGATGACGACACGACATACTACTCGACCCACTATTTCATATCCCCACTTCTTTGCTGGTGTTGAATTTTCGTATTAAATGGCCATCGGGTATACTGAACAGTGCACACTCCAGTGGCTCTTGTGTTCTTGTGTGTATAAAGTGACAGGACAGTGACGTCGACATCTGCTGGAGACTGGAGCTTAGCTTGTCTTACAATTACAGTGGAAAGAGGACACTGTACTTCAGATGCATGAGCTGATCACTCCATCACTGTACTCTACATTATGTTTGGAATCCAATACACGGCAATGACACAACCAAGTCCTTTTCTGACGTTACTCAGAGTTTCGTGCTAAGAAACACTCACCAGATAGTCTATTGGAATGTGTTTGAAGTCTATTGAAGAACCTATAGGCATTGTTTATTGTTATCATGATCCCATTCAATGTTTCGCGAGTCTGTAGTTTTGGTCCTTTCCACCTGCTGCCTTTTTTTACGGATTGAGTGCGTGGTTTTCAATTCTAAAAAGGTGACCAGGCCCCTGGTGAGTGTGTGTGTGTGGCCATTGCGCAATGAGCTGGACATCATCTTGAACACATGTCCCAATCCCGCACTCCTGTGATACTCTAGTCAAGCCAGCACACTGCAGCTGTCTGTTTCACAGTATAACCCTGGGTGGATGGAGGACACTCTTCTTCTCAGGTGGTCTATGCCGTCAGCACACCATCACCACACACCAGAGGTACTCGGATTTTCGCACAAGAAACCTGTGCATGATGTTCGCTTGAGTATGCTTGCATCTCCAGTGGCAGTGCGTATGCAAGCTGGGTTTCACCTTGCTATGCCTGCCCTAGTCCTACTGCTGTCTACTATGGTGAGCTAAGTACTACTAAGCTGTTTTCCCCACTCATCAGTCAGGTAACTGGTTAGGTGCATTGGCATCAGCATGACTCAGCCACGGACAGGGAGCACTTGCTGCTCATTGACATCTGATATCCTGATATGGGGACACCCCTGACAGTTCCACTAGCTACAGCTAATGTTCACCACAGCTACATGTAGACCTCAGCTAATGTACATACCGGTAATACTGCAGAACAGTCATGTGCGGTCTACATCACAGCTAATGTACAGTCATGTACCATCCACATCACCCGCTTAAATGTACAGTCATAATTATAGGTCTATATCACAGCTAATGTACAGTCATATACGGCAGTACAGTCATTATAGGTCTATATCACAGCTATTGTATGCCCCAGCTAATGTAAATGTAGGTCTACATCACAGCTAGTGTATATGATTGTATACCACAGTTATCATGTACAATCATGTAGGTCTACATCACAGCTAATGTATAAATAAAATTAAAAAAATAATAAATTTCACTAGCTAATGTATGCCCCAGCTAATGTACATGTACATCATCACAGATAAACTAATGTGTATACCCCTGTACTTTGTATAGCATAATTATTGTATACCGCTGTCTGGTGCACTTATCACATAACCATTATTATACGGCAGCATAGGGAACAGCCACGTCGGTTCCTAAAACTCCAACTGTGCGTCTCATAATTATGTGTTAATGATTTTGACCATGCTTGTTCCACTGTCCACATCATGTCACAATCCCTTTCAACACACTTTCCGTACAAATAATTATTTGAATTCTATGATCACAAGAAAACGATGTGAAAACATACTACTACTGCAATCTACTCAGGTCCACCTACATGATTGATTTTTTTTACTAGAGCCACGTAAACCCGTCATGTGCGAGCCATGAATAAGGGGATTGGTGGCGTGATTGCACATGTATGCCACCGTATAGAGTCATGCATAGTGTAATCCGACCCAGATTTAGCACTAAATTAAATTATTTGTTTATGCTTGTGGCCCTACAGTGTATGTGTTTTTGAGGATGCTGTTGGATACTAGTAGATACGAGTCTCAGTGGTCTCATGATTGCCTAGCAGCGGCATGAAACTCAGTTACAAGTAAAAAAATTATTTTTTATTTTTTTACTATTGAACACTCACTGCATGATGAAAAAAAAGTTACAACCAACCTGAACGTCCTCCGCTGAGTCTGCTATGTCATGTATAATCATGTATGGCCAGAGGACGACTACCTCTACTTTCTTTTTTCCGGGGGGGGGGGGGTGATACAGCTTGTGTTTAAGAGTATAGGAAAACTCAGCACTATACTGGCTACTGGCTACTGTCTACAAATGGCAAACAGAAACCCAGTGTACTAGGAGTAACGCCTAGTCTTTGATTGTTTGCTGACACATTTGTTAGATGTGCATCGCCAATGCAGGGGCGTAGCACCCGCTACGACTGGTACGACCATGGCCGTACCACTTTTCGAAAAGTGTGGTCCGTCCGGAACGTGCAAAACCGTAATAAAAAAATCAGGATCCATCGATGCATATATGCGCATCAGACTTTGACCTTTTTTCTAGACTCGTAGATCTACTGGTAGATCTGTTATGCATCTGCAGTCGTACTGAGTACTGAGTCTGTACTCGACTCGACTGCACACTGCGCCAGAAGTGTGCCAGAAGTTCCCAGAACGCAGGATTTTGTGTCCTTTTTACAAAATTTTCCCGGGGGAGGTCCCCCCGACCCCCCTCCAAAACGGCCTTCGGCCGCACCGACCTTTGGTCGTACCACTTCCAAAACCCCTCCTATGCCCCTGCAATGCACCAGGAAACAAAAAAAACATCTAGCTTGTTCTATTCACACAACAAAACTGGAGATGCAATGTCACTATAATGGCTAGAAATCCTGTGCTGGAGACCCCCAGGGTACAATCAATGTCTCAATGGCACCGTCAGCCTTGATGCTGCAAAACCACTACCATTCATCCAAAGTGAAGATTACAGATTTTACAAATGTACTGGCAGAGATGAGGGTAGGGAAGGCAACTCAGCCACTTGCAAGGATATGAAGACCTTCACCACTTCTTACAAGATGATTATCAGACATGCTGTCCTGAGAGCATTTCGGGGCTATCTCCACTATCAACTACATGATTGTCCAACACCACGACAGTGATCATAATGTCTGCCTACGCCTACACTGACTTAGTGCTGGGAATGGTCTGCTACCACACATACACATATGTGGCCCATATTTCTAACCCCGCTCGGCCAGACTGAGACCGCCCGCATAGTCTACGCACAATCTCTGTACGGAAAACGTTTGAGGTTTACCGCAAAGCCTTGACTTGAGGCTGCCGAAAAGATGCACACCATACCCATAGACATGCCCGTTTTCAAGAAATTGGACCACCCTCGAATCCGAAAGTACAACATATTTCAGTATAAAGAATATGAAACTATCAACGCAAACGACAACGTGATCGAATCAATGGAGTAAAATTTAGCCAGCTGCTACGAATATCTACGGACATTTTCCTCGCACAAGCCGACCCGCTGAACACCGCACAGCGACATTAGCTACCGTTTATCAACTCGTTCTGGCAGATTGTGCTGGGGGCCCACTTGTACTTAGGAGCAACAAACGCACGCGGCCATTGGCGAACAAGCGATCATACAAGAGCTCCTTGACTTGAGCCGACAAGCAGCTGTACCTGCCGGACAGAACGGTCCACTTAGACAGTCATGTAGCTACTCGTGCTCACGATGCTCGAGCGTCAAGAGTCCTCATTCCACGCCACGACACAAGTGAAATTACTTAGCGCTCACATAATAAATTCTCCCCAACCAACACCCAGTAACCGCTAAATAGCCAGAATATCTGCTCACCTTTCTCTCCACACTGCACTGTCGGACGCTCCGGAACAGCACGTCGTCCCGGAAGTTCAAAATCCAAAATCTAATTCCACGGACAGCAACCATGCGCTAGAATGAACTCTAGTTTATCTAGCCACGCGTTCGCGAAGTTATACAATTAATTCTTCGGCTCTTCGGGAATCTTAGGCACGGTAAAAAGGCAAGGGAAGGTTCTAAAAAGCAGCTGCACTGGAGCGGAGCCAAGCAGCAGAAAACAGCAGGGCCTAGGAGCATGCAAGGTCAGGAATTTGTTTTTTGTCATTCAATCACCCCACAGGGAACATGTGTGGGTGTGCACTATGTGGCTACATAATCATTAGTTGAGCTCCTGTGATTTTGTGACTTTGCCAGGTACTAGGTATGGCCCCGTAGACCTATGCCATGGGTTACTTTTACGCTTCGAAAGAAGTCACCAGCTAGAGTACCGTGATTTGAGTGTGAATGCTTTCGCTGTGTGCACCGCGTGTTTGACCTGAGCTGTCACCTGTCGCTTGACTGCATGCATGTGTTTGGATTTGATGAGTTGAGGACCTTGTTGAAGTTGTGGTTGTGCGTCAGCCACTGTCCGCTCTGTCGGCATGTTCGAAGCCTAGCCTAGGCTAGGCTCTTCGCTGTAGCAGTGTAGTGTAGGGTTGTGGTAGAGTAGTACTAGTAGTAGTAGATCTACTGCTGAGTAGAATCCACTGGGTGCGCAGCGTAGGTCTACATCAGTACATGACTTTGTGTGCAGCTAAAACAGGAAGGACAAGACGTAGTCATATCACTCATGGCATGATAATGATCATTTCATTGATGAATGATGGTGAGAAGGCGATGTGAAAAAACTCCGAAATGTCACACACGTACACGCACGCACACCCGCGCAGACACAGATCACGACAGGCTATAGTGTCAGTAGCGATCTTCCATCTCGTGCTATCTTACCACCGGTATTCATGCACTACACACTATCCTAACTACTCACTCACAGTTACACAGAGGCAATATGCTTTGGTTCTGCAAGAGTGCTCAATGCCTGATTCAGGCAGAGCGGCGTACAGATCGTTGTCTGATGATTGGTTCAGCCATGAAACTCTGAATCACGACGGAATTAATTTGCCATTGTGTGCCTTTGTGTACTTACAGTAACTATCTTACAGCCTGGCGCATGGTGCAAAACTGGGAAGAGTTGAGATTGGAAGCGATTCTCTTTCCCTTTGGCCGTTTGCCTATTGCCTTATTGGGATGGAGGGAGGGGGGAAACGAAACAGCAACGCCGTGACATTCGACAGTGCTGTCTACAGCGTAGTAACACAATAGGCCAACAGCCAAAGGCAAAGAGAATCGCTTCCAATCGAGATCGTGGCGTCGAGTCATCGACATTCGTTTTTGAGTAAAGTCGAGAGGCTGGCGGGCACTTTCGTGCAGCGTTTAGCTATGCGCCATGGGATCCGGAAGGGTCCAAGGGAAAGGTGGAACAGGAAATGTATGAGCAGGTGACTTGTCTGACAAGACGCTATTTGCCAGTATTGGAGTAGGATACCCGGGTACTCATGGCACTGGGTCATCAAGAGTCCAGGGAGTCTTGGTGTCATACAGGGCTTTCGAATGTAACGATTACGTAGCTGTAGCATGTCGGGGTCCACAGACCACAGTGCACCAGCGTTCGGTATGAACTACATTAATTTTGTACTAGTACGTAGTCACAGAGTAGATCTACCACGCGTCTTGATTGTTGTAACTAAAAGTTTCATGCCACTTGCCAGATGGCAATCTTCAGACATCTGAAGATTGCCATCTGGCATGAAACTTTTAGTTACAACAATCCAGACGCGTGGTACTCTGTGACTCGTGTGTTACTGATCTGCTTTTTTTTTTTTTTTTTTTAATTTCGGCCAGTCGGCTACTATCTATAATTTTTCGTCTTGGGGGCTAGACGAGGGGAAGTAGCCATGTCGGGGCGTGAGCCCGTCTTTCGGCACCGGGTGCTCTGCTTCCGCATTGAGCACTCTAAAATATCGAACCGGAGGACTCCGCTCTCTGTAGATCTACAATTATGTAAAATATAATTATAGTCATGATTTCAGCCTCAAGTATTTTTACTACTTGTAGTATGCCTCAATTATGTAGCTGTAGTCATGATGCACTGTGCTACATGTACAGTCCACTTCGCTAATAACGACTGCGGATATAACGACAATTCGCGAATAACGACAGAATTTCCATGCCCAGAGCAAAGTCCCATCCCACTGTGATACATATAATGAGACTTCGGGTATAACGACACTTCGCGAATAAGGACACGTTTCTGATGCCCCGCCGAGTGTCGTTTTAGTAAACGAAGTTGACTGTATGATGATTTCACTTCGTAAATGTACATGTACTGTACTGTGTAGTTCAACTGTTGGCACCACTCGCGCTCATATCGCCTAGGTGCTATTTTGGGAGCTGCTCTGACCACCTAAAAGCTACATGTGTACAGTCATGTACATGTAGGTATTGCTAGCTGCTGCTCATATCCCCTTTGTAACGACTGTAAGCAGGTATGGTACGGAAGGCGAAGGACGCGTCAAAATAATCTCAGCAACTAACTTCTGCACTTGAGTAGATGTCAGAAAATATAACGTGCGCGGTCAGACGAGATGTCAATAACTTGAGCAAGGTGTCAGAACACACTATGAACAATGTCAAACGAAAGCTGGGGCCTGTGTGGGTAAGAAGATTTCCGCACTTGTGGAGACAAACAATCACAAGCATAATGAAATCCAAAGAGCTACAAGTTACGCCATATTATCCACTAACACCACCAGTTACTTTACAATCAGCTCATGCGATGACATTTTAACTTGTAGCTCTTTCGTCCTCTTTTCTTCTTATAAATTAATCCTCGGCTGCACGCGAGTCTAATACTGAAGTCCACTGCGGCATCAATAATGATGTGATGGTCACTCCACCAATGCAACGCCCGGACACTCAGGCGGTCACGGCGGACAGTGGATGGAACTAGGTAGAAGAAACCGAATCAAGTCAACCTGGACTGAGCTGCCTGCCTTTTTATCAGCGATGCACAATCCACTCAGCTTCTCAACGTGTTCGCTAGTTCAGTCCTGATGTCCGTCTTGTGTCCGTCAATGAAGAAAAAACTTGCTTTTAAAAGGTCATCATGCCTTCCCGTTCATTATTGTCTCCGTGAGGTGCAGAAAGCGAAGGTGAAGCGTGGTCGTGGTGCACCGATGGTATGCAGAGCATTATTTTGATATCTGAACGTGCCTATGTGTATGTGTATGTGTATGTGTATGTGTATGTGGTGAAGATGTTGTCTACAGTACACTGTGCACGCTTTGTCAAGATCTGATCTGTATGTAGGGGAAACCGAGGGGCCGGCGCGGGAGCGGTTTCAGGAACACTACCAGGACGGGCGGAGGATGGTGGAGAAGGCTCTCTGAGTTACCCAGCTAGGAAACCCACCACCGAGGATATCTTCACACATCATCTTCTCTTTATTTTAAAGTTTGATATTTGCTGAGTCGAAGATTTGATGGACTTCTCGTGTGTTTGCATTGAGCAATGCCCTACCCGACATGGTTGGTAGCAAGAGAACACATTTCAAAATCTCTCAATAAATGTATATTTGCATCGTGCCCAGTTGAGGTAGGACAAACCAGCAATACTAGTACATGTACATGTACACTGTAGATTGTACTAGTATTGCTAGTTTGTCCGTGAAGTGTGTGGGGTACAGTGAGGGCTGCGTGCCACCCGCCCGTACTGTGCTGTGGATTCACAGGAAGTGTGAGTTACGAAGTCTGAAGAAAGTGTTGAACGGTCTCTGCTGGGATGACGGCAACATCTTCTAAGCTCAGTGGTTAGAGCATCACTGGCCTCAAGCAAAGGTCCTTGCCCTTGGTTCGAATCCTGGTGGTGGCACTCAATATTTTCTTCAGACCTTTCCCGTTTGTTTCTTCCCCTCAAACCAGTGAACTAGTATACTAGTAGTCCATTGCCATTGATGTACATATACATATACATATACATGGATGATTGAGTATATGTACATGTATATAATTATACATGTATGTACATAATTATACATATACATGTACATGTGCATGTACATGTATTTATCTGGGGCCCAGTTCAGGGTTGAATGGGAACTGTCAGAGACTGCAGTGTTTTGCAGAGCACAACCTTCCCCATCGCCTCCTTGTCACAAGATTTTAAGGAAGTACATGTAAAAGGTAGCCCATACTAGTCAAGCCCTGTCCCGAGAATACATGTACATGCGACCTACACAAAAACAAAAAAGGTTCGCTCTGGAAAACCTAGCTGTCTTGTGATTGTACCTACTACGTCGGTGGAATAACAATGCAGAGTATACATGTACATGTACATGTAGTAGTATCAGGACTCTGTTCCTCAAAGCATGAAGCCAAGGGGATGGCCTTGTTTCAGAACAATGCCACCGCCATGACTCGATACAATCTAAAAATAACCGACCAGTCATGATGCTGTACACAGGTACATGTACATGTAGCAGCAGTTTCTGTTTGCTTGTTCAGAACTCTTTACACGTACGCCTCCTTGCCCTCTTTTATCAGATTCAGAAGTACAAGTACTGATCCTGATTGATAAAAATCATGTGCAACACTAGTCATGTACTTGTAACTACAACAACTGCATGACTTGAACAAGTCTAGGGTGCCCGGGTACAGTATCGGCACATTCAGTGCACTGCCGGCCGGGTTATTGTGCGGTGTCTTATCACTCTCGAGATCTCGCATCTGGCTCGTGTACAAACTCGGTGATCAGATCGGGCTGAAGATAGAAATAATTGTGTGTACATGTCCAACGTACATGTAGGTGGTACTGACAACGCTTTTTGTCATCGTGCGCCATCCTCCTCCTGTCTAGGTACGATTGAAACAATCAATCTGATCAATACTACTACAGTACTTATCAGTCATACCTGACACGAGAAATCCGGAATGTCAGCGACTAGCTACCCACTGTAGTCTGTAGCCATCCCGTTTCAACACCTGAGCACAATACTGGTAGTGGTACATGACTTGTGCTACCGCATGTACGTGTGTAATCGAACATCTCTGGACTGGAGATCTGATCTGTCACGGAAAAGACCACAATTTTCAGATTCTTGAATAATAATAATTATTGTTTCTCACATCCATGCGCTGCAGCACCATTCACGATGGCCTGATGATGCATCGATGGTGCTCTGTTCGGCAGAAGTGATAGTGCCCCGTCGATATTATTATGGCTTGCTACTGTGCTTGAGGCCAGTTGTATGGA